CCTAAGGTGGGGGTATTGTGCCTGGGGGATTCCCATGGAGAGGGGTGCAAGCACTCACTGCCCTCTGCCCCCTTCCCCTGGGTGCTTAGAGTTGAGGCTGGACACAAGGCCCCGATGTGGGCACCGCAGCAGTGTGACACCCAGCCCGTGTTGTGCTGGGCTTCTTGCAGGGGCTTCAGCTATGTGGACCTGGTGGAGGGGCTGCGGGATGGGCGCTTCTATGCCCTGAAGCGCATCCTGTGCCATGACAAGGAGGACCGCCAGACCGCCCTGCATGAGGTGGAGATGCACAGCCTCTTTGACCACCCCAACATCCTGCGTCTGGTGGCCCACTGCATGGTGGAGAAGGGCGCCAAGCATGAAGCCTGGCTCCTCCTGCCCTATGTGAAGGTGAGGGGGGCTCCTCCAGCCAACTCCATTCCCTTGCCACCAGAAGCAGCAGTGGCAACCAGCTGCTTGTCTTTGCCAGGGAGGGACTCTCTGGAGAGAGGTGGAAACACTGCGGGAGAAAGGGACCTTCATGCCAGAGCAGCGGATCCTCCACATCCTCCATGGCATCTGCCGCGGGCTGCAAGCCATCCACAGCAAAGGCTACGCACACAGGTGAGGGACCAGTAGACACAGCTTGGGGGGTGGCCGGCAGGGTGCCCAGTGGGCAGTCGGTGATATCCATCCCTGCAGGGACCTCAAGCCCACCAATGTGCTGCTGGATGAGGGTGACCAGCCCGTGCTGATGGACCTGGGCTCCATGAACCAAGCTCGCATTGAAGTGAACAGTTCTCAGAAGGCCATGGCCGTGCAGGTGGGTGCCGTGGGGCAGCACCCCACCAGCTTGTCCCTTCCCCAAGCCCTTCATCCCCACCCTCACCCTCATCTCTGCAGGACTGGGCTGCTCAGCGCTGCACCATCTCCTACCGTGCCCCTGAGCTCTTCACAGTGCCGAGCCAGTGTGTCATAGACGAGCGCACAGATATTTGGGTAAGGACCTGCCCCCCCCAGTCCCCGTCCCGCTGCCATGGGGCTGCGCTGACCCTGCCATGCTCCAGTCCCTAGGCTGCATGCTGTACTGCATGATGTTTGGGGAGGGCCCCTACGACGCCATCTTCCAGAAGGGTGACAGCGTGGCTCTGGCAGTGCAGAACCCCATCACTTTGCCTCCCACAACCAGGTTAGGGGCTGGGGAGGGCGACCCTGCTCCTAGGCATCCCCCTGTGCTGTGCATCACACGTACTCCCCCCTCTTGCCATCTTTCCTGCAGGTATTCAGCTGGTTTGCAGCACCTGCTCTCCTCCATGATGACGCTGGACCCCCAGGAGCGACCCAGCATAGATGAAGTCCTCCACCAGCTGGAAGAGCTGCAGCCAGCGCCGGCGGGACAGGACACCACGCAGATCTGAGCCTGTCCCACCCCGCAGCTCTGAGCCTGTCCCACCCCGCAGCAGTGATGTGCTCCCAGGACGAGCAAGGGGAAAAGCGGCTGCCCCTGTCCCTGCTCCAAACGGAGCTGTTGCAGAGGGGATTGCTGTGGTGGGGGAGCTGGCGCCCTGTGCTGGAGGTGTGTTGGATTTGGAGTGTTCTGTGCCCTGGATGCTGCTGCCTGGGACTTGCTCTGTGCTCCAGGACTGTGGGTGTGTGACTTGCTGCTAAACGCGGGGCTCTCATCGGCCACTCCCTCCCCCGGGGGTTGCAGAGGATGCGGCGCGATCCCCCTGGGTGATGGCAGCTGTGGCTCCAAAGCTTTTGGGTCACCCCTGCCTGGGGCAGAGCCACAGGCCGGGTCCTGGTGCGGTGCTAGAGCAAGGCAGGGGGACTTGCGCCCTCTCTGCTGCTCCTCCCGGCACCAATGTTGCCTTGTATTTGGAGTAAAAGATGTTCTTGCGGAGGTGTGGACGTGTCCCAGTCTGCGGGGGAGGGGGTCCCGCTGGGGGCACAAGGAGAGCAGGGCATGCTGTCTGGGTTGTGCAGGCAAGCATTGCCGAGGGGAAGGGCAGCAGAGGACAGCCCCGGCAGGGCGGTGCGGCCAGGGTATTAGCAATAAGCAGGGAAAGTTAATCCCTGGCCCCAGCGCACCGTAATGGGAGTTAACACAACTCTGCAGCTGGAGCCAGGCGCCGCTGCTCAGAGCCTCCGGGGCTGGGCACTGCGGGAAGGGGCTTAGCACAGCGCAGGCAGTGGCAAGGGCACAGGCAGAGCTACTCAGCTGCCCCAAAAGAAGGAGATGGGTGCCCAGGCTGGGGAGTTGGCAGAGCTTGGGAGAAAGGGGCGGCTGCCCTGCTCTGGTGGATTGAGCAGAGCGTGGGGACAGCACAGCCACCATTGACTGGAGAGGCTCGCTGGGACACACAGCAGTGGAGCTACCCGCGGGGAGGGGTGAAAAAAAGAGATGCACACAAGCGGTTTCACGGGGAGCGTTCCCTCCTTTAATCCTCTCACCACAACACAGCAGAAAAGCAGCCGCGGGGGTTCATGCCACGCCAGACGCCCTTGTGGGGCACACCCACTGCACCGCAGAGCCGGGCATGCCCCTCGTCCCCCACTGTGGCCAGCAGGACAGAGGTGCTAGGCTGCTCCCACTGCTTCAAGCACTCTTCTAAATGAGCCCACCTACCCTCTGGCTGTACAAGGGAAGAAGTCCCAGCAGCTGCAGGCTTTTTCTTGCTCAGGCTAAATCTGCTCCCCTGGGCTCCGGGATACAATGCAGGGCCATATGCATTGGGGCCATACACCATGGGAGGAAGCACTACAAATCCTGGTTGGAGCAGCGAGGGGGGGGGTGGGATGTGTGCCATGGCCCCGGGGGCTCTTACCTGCATGGGGAGCAAGCCAGAGCTGCAGCATAGCACTGGGAGGAAGCAGAGCAGCACCAGCAGCAGAGCT